GCTGCAGAAGATCTGTTCGGACTTCTCATGGCGTGGAGAGGAATCTGGAAGGGCAAAAGTGGCATGGGAGCGGATTTCTAGACCTAAGAAGGAGGGGGTACTGGGCGTACGTGACTTGTTTACATGGAACAGAGCATGCACTGCCATGATGTTCTAGCTCCTCATGATGTGCTTAGGAGGCCTTTGGGTGGCTTGGATGCTTGCTTACAGGTGCAGGGTAATAGACTTTTCGAATATGACGATTCCTGCATCTAGTCCTTGGGTCTGGCAAAGAATTTTGGCAGGGTAAGAAGATGGTGTTGTACTCAGTTCGAGAGGTCTGGAAAACCCTGAGACCTGTTCATAATCGAGTAAACTGGTACAAACTTCTATGAGGAAAGAATCATATACCTCATTGGAGCTTTATCTCTTGAATTATAATGTTGGATGCAATGGTTACGAAGGCAAAACTGTTGAAATGGGGACAATTGCAGGATGATAGTCGTATCTTGTGTGGTGTAGGTAGTGAGACAAGAGAACATTTGTTCTTTGACGGTAGTTTTTCAAAGTGCATGTTGATGAAAGTGGGATTGCAGGTTGGAAGCGGCTCTTGGGACTCGCGGGTTGACGCAGCAATGTCTATAGCTGCTAAAAATAGTGTGTGGGGGCGTATGATTGGATTAATATGGTGTTCTGTGTCTTCTTTTTTCTGGTAGGAGAGATGTTGCAGGAGCCATGGGGAACAACCAAGAGATGCTGGGATAGTTTGTGAGCTATGGTTGAGTGAGTTACGGTTTGTTGTGGGAGCTTTCCCTTCTTTGTTGAGAAATTATAGTAGTATTGGACTAGTGTAGAGGGACTGTGAGCCAAAAACCTTGTATTGTGGGTTGGGTAGCAGCTAGTGGAAGTTAGTTGGGGTACTTTCTTTGGTTTCGGAGAACACCAATTTGGGAATTCTCTGCTTAGTTGTATCAGGTGTGGTGTTTTATCACCATGTCTTCTCTAAAAGTTAATAAACAGGAACCTGATTCAACGAAAAAAGAAAAAAAAAACTCTACCATTCTAATTGGATGGATTAAATAGATTGAATTACTTGGATATATTTAAGTGAATGGAGTAGATTGGATTGGTGGATTAGATACAAAATTGACACCTCTAACGAAACTAATGTATTTTTTCTTATGAATAATTAATAAATAAATGTGGAGACAAATTTATTACTACTTTTGCTGGAAAAAAAATTGATATATTGAAAAACTACTCTCAACTATGTAGATGAGGTAGCCATCATTCGAGAATTTCATACTAGGCAGAAAATTCAATCCAGAAATAAGTGAACTACTTACTTCCAACGGAACTTATCTCGCGAGTAACCAAACTTAGGTAGATTCTTCTCTTCAGGTTGTTTTACAAGGATGTCACCAATCAAAGCATCATTTTCGATTTACTTCGTCTTAATTGAAAGTACAATTATCAGAATATTCTAACCTATTCAACTTCATAACTGGTAGGAAACTATTTCTATTTGTTGAGTTATATCAATTTCTTAATAATAACTAGTTTGTGATCTAGTTGGTTAGCCGGATTACAATAGGTGATCGACTTGTGAAGCGGAGTGGAAGCTGAAGTAAGAGCGGGAGAGCATCTATTTCCAGATAATTGTATATTTTAAATATGAATAGAGCATTAATATTATATTATTTAAAAATATAAAAAAATTTATATATTATAAAATTTTAGACAAAATAGAACAACAAACTTCAATTTTTTATAATTTAATTTATATACCCATACCAAAAAGGAAATAAAAAGGTTTAATAAACCATTCGAATGATTTTTTTACCATTACCTAAATTTTCTTTTGTGTTTTAAATTTCATTTATAGAAGAAAAAATAAATGTATTTATATCCCTCGGGATGGAAAACGGGTGGACATGGCAGATATCTCAATACCCATACCCGCCCTACATCAAGCGTGGTTCAGGTCCGGTAATACTCTCAAGGGTACGTGGCGGGCCGGGTCGACCAATTCTCACATGTGATTTGAAATAAGTATATAAAAAAATAATTTTTAACAAAGAAAAATACTTCATGAATGAAAATAGTGATAATAGAGTGAGTAATTGAGTCTAAATAATTGAAACATAAAATTGTGTACCTATTTAAAGCTTTGGAGGTGAGAAAATGATTGAAAAATTCAAATCATGAGAAATACAAATTTGAAAAAAATTGAGATAGAACTGGTAATGAATGGAGTAGGACGGGGCAGGAAGGAATTAGTGACCCATGCCCCGCTTCACGATATAGCGGGCTGGGTAATACATGCCCGAATGTGGGTTAGGCTGGGTAATACTTAGAGTGGTGGGTTCAAATTGTCAACCCTACATATCCCCTCTTAGCGAAACACCAAGTTTCCCAAATGGCACTCATTACCCCCATCCCTTGTGTTGATCTCGGGGTTGTAGCCGACGTCAAGTTTTTTTATGTTGGGCACCGAAGTCGGTCGACTACCACCTTTCACCTCGAACTTCGCTCGGAATGTTAGATGCGGTCGCCTCCTGCAAAACGGGTCCGCCGACCGATCTCGACGGGCACACTCTCCGACGCTCAAGTTAGTGATGGGGTTGAGTAGAGAGGAATATGACCTCAAAATGAAAGATGAGGGAATGAAGTTGAGAATGAATATATGTGCTAATCATAGCGAGAGTTCACGAGTCTAGGCATTGGTATTTTTTCTTACCTCAATCTGGAGACGAAGTGTCCTTTTATAGAGGCCTCTAGACGAACATGAAGGGAATATGTGTCTCCCTCATGAGCTTGGTGGTGTGGAGAGAGGACACGTCATAGGGGAACATGGCTAGAGGTTCTAAATGACTTGGGGTGGGCGGAGAATCCAAGGTTGTCGAGTAACCTGGGGTTGTTGACCATGGGGGTGATCGGAGTGACCCCGGGATGGCCGAGATGACCCAAGGTTTTTGACCTCGGTAGCCAGAGTGACCTTGAGGTGGGCTAGGTGATCTGAGGCGATTGACCCCGTGGTGGCCGGAGTGACTCCAAGGTGATCTGGGGTGATTGATCCCAGCGGGCTGTAGTGACCCCAAGTTGACCCAGGGTTATTAACCCCGGGTGGCCGGAGTGACCCCAAGGTCACCCGAGGTGATCGACCCCGACGAGCTTGAGTGACTCCAAGATGACATAGGGTGATTGACCCCAGGTGGCCGGAGTGACCCGGCGTAGGCTAGGTAACCCGAGATAATTGTCCTTTGAGTGGCCGGAGTGACGCCAAGGTGCCCCAAGGTGATTGACCCCGATTGGACAGAGTGACCTCGGGGTGGGCTAGGTGACCCGAGGTAATTGAACACAAGGTAGCCGGAGTGACTCCAATGTAACACATGGTGATTGACCCCGAGTGGCCGGAGTGACCCCGGGGTGGACTAGGTGACCCAAGGTGATTGATCCTAGGGTGACCAGAGTGATCCAAGGTGACCCGGGGTGATTGACCCCGACCGGCTAGAGTGACCTAGGGTGATTGACCCCGGGGTGGCCTGAGTGACCCTTGGATGGGATAGGTGGCCCGAGGTGATTGAACCCGGGTTGGTCGACAGTGATCGAGGAGGGTTGCTGATTATGGACTATCTAGTAACACTTTCGTCAAATTAGAATTTTTTAATTTGGGGTCCATCTCCTTGATATTACGGTTTCTCATCATTAATCAATTTACGTTGATGTTGATTATCAATCCTTCATTCCTTTCTTTCATAAAAGTCTTATTAGTCTTCAAAATTCCTAGATTACAATACATAAATTTTTTGTACTAGTCCAAACAATCCAAAGATAAATGACCACCTTAATAATCTCATCCAATTTAGCTCTTCCAATCAAGTCCTCATTTCTCAATCTGGTTGAGTTCACAACGCCATTCGCCAGTAAAGAGCATAGATTTTACATAATTGTACTCGATAGTTCTGTTGATCCGAACCCTGTAGAGAGCTTGTTTTACTGTCAAATAATTTTCATTGTCACTCTCTCCCACCATATCTATACCTTTCTGATGAAACGAACTGGTTGTTTTCTTTCAACCGCATTCGTTAACTCACAAATTCCCCTGCATAATTCATCATTCAAAAGATAATAATTGCGAATGTTTTCCAAATTCCTCTAAGTTTGCATTTTTTGTATTCTAAAGCAAGAGCGTCAACCTATGTCTCTAGAATTGTGTGACTTAAGGATTACATGTTATACAATGTGTAAATAGGTATCTCCACGATTCTACTGCCCACTTTTACCTTGTTTCAATCTCGGTTCAATCCAATTTTATACCAAATTCAAGTGTGGTCTCATCTCAATTTTATCTGGTTCTATACTGAATCGATCGATGCCTACCATTACCAACAACTACCACAAATGCCACTAATAGAAAGTATACTTCTAAATCACAAGTAAAATATTTCAAACATGAGCAATATTGTGATAAAACTAACTATTATAAATGATAAAAACAAAATTCATTCAACCAATCGAGTAAATAAAAAGTTAGTGCATGCCTTAAACTGCTTTATTTACCTAACTAATCAAAATGAATAGTCATATTCATCTTCACTCATTAAAATGTTCTTGCCTTACAAATTCATGAACACATCAAAGTCAATATAGTTTCATGATTGTTAAGTCCAATCATGTCAGAATAGCAAGAGGTTTAAGATTTAGTGGTTAATCGAGATAAACCGTTCTGAAAACCAATCACATATAGTTTTCGTAAAGATATTATTAACTTATGTTAACTATGAAAGACTTATGGGGCTAGCTAACCTTGGAGAAAAAGTCCTTCAATTTTCAGATATTAGCTTCGTATATGTTTTCAATATAGAAAGATACACAAAATTTGTTTAGTGCAATTGGCTATGATTAGTGTATGTTTTCAGTTTAGAAAGATACACAAAATTTGTTTAGTACAATTGATTATGATTCTTATCTTTATCTGAAGATACCGTGGTTCGAATTTCAATATTTATGCCTTTTATCTAGAAATAGTAAATAATTTTGAAGACAGGCGGTGTCTTCAATGAGACGCTCGGGATTATGGGTGGCGGATCGCCAGTGAAGGCGACGAAGGAAGGGGTAGTTTGGTTGCCTTGGTCATTTGCTATGATTTCCGTCTTGCCGTACCGAGAGACGGTGATGCATGAGTAGGTCATCCCGAGGTCAATTCCGATAACTACCTCTCCACTATTTTCATTCTCCGGCTTCAGCATTGTTGCTGCGAAGTTAGGGCGCACGACGGACAACAGTAGAGAATGCTAGTGAATTAGGCGACTATGTTGTATTTATATAGCTTTCGATTGGGGTGGGTATTACGGCATGGACGGGTGGGTATAGAGATACTGAACTGGTTGGGTTGTGCGGGTTAATTGAGATGATTAAATAATTTTATAATTAATATTTTTAATGATGTGTCATGTTGACTGGGCAAAAAGTAGCGGAGTTTGGATGGGAGTGGACGAATTGACCAATTCGTTATTCACTCAAACTTGTTTTATCGAAACGTGAAAAATTAAAAGATTATGACCATTTTGTACAAAGTGAATAGGTTTATAACTATTTTAATAATTAGCCCTTCTTTATGTACTATGGCAAGGGTTAAAGGCTTAAAGCAAATTTCTATTGCACCCTTATTAATTAGCTATTAACTTTATTTCCTGGTAATTATTATTATTATTATTATTATTAACCAATCAACATTATAATTCAACTATTTTAAATTTTTTGAATATTTTTCATTGATGTAATTTAACTGTAACCATAAAATTTGTAAATTTGGACTCGATATCGATTCTACAAATAAAGAGAAAGGATCACGGATCAGAATTTAATTGTTAAACACATTTGATGATTTGGTAGTACCACTCTTATTGTGATACTATCTCCAATGAAGTTTATCTTATAGATATTGTCATCAAAGATAGTTTATCTGAATGGTTAACTGCAAATATAATAATGAATTATAGTAATGATGATTTAATTTTTAGCTTGAGTGCAAGTTAAGAAATAAAAAAAGTTCAAAATAATGACGTCACACGAAAAATCGAGACTTCCATGGATGCTTAAAAATTGAGAAATTTTAAAATGTTGATAAATACCAAACATTATAGGGGGCAAATGGATTGATTGGTTTTATGGATTGAATTTGTGGATACAAAGATTGGATTTTTACATCCAATTGACATTTAGAAACTACACTATCATAAAAATTTAGATATCAGAGCTGGTTTATGACTTGATATCAGAGCTGGTTTGTGGTAAGTTGAGTTATTGTGGTAAGTTGGTTTATGACTTGATATCAGAGCTGGTTTGTACTTGAGGTCACGCCCTGACGATCCCCAATATTTACCGTTGTCTTTCAAGCACATGGTATGATGTGGTTTGTGCAAACTTCAACCCCATGAGTTGGCTTTCGTTTAAGGAGGCAGTAAGGAAGTGGTTAAGTACCATACATGAACCTCTCTCAACAACTCGAGTTATTGAGATCAATAGGTTTCTGTAGGTTGTAACCATAATTATGTAGTCAGTTCTTGGTTGACCGTTAAACACATTATGCTTACCGTTAATTGCACCATTTATATTAGTCGGTTAAATGTAACCATGTAGTCGGATATCTGTTTTTTTTTTTTTTTTTTGTTAACTGGACAACGATTAAGCAAGTATTAGACAAGGTTATTCCAAAATAACTGATCAGTAACCTAACCACCTCCTCCTTTTTCAATTGTGCATTTTTGTAGAGTTTTTTTACTTAAGTATGTGTTCTTTTTTAAGTTGTTACTATTGAATAAACCGTAATTTAACATAGATATCAGGTCATTATAAACTCAATCGAACACAAGTACACAATAACACCATTCTACCTTCAAATTTGATTAAAGAAGCAGAAAAGAATAAGAGATCCAAGAACAATTACTCAACTCATAAATCCCACCTAATTACATGAAATTTTAAATGTTATTGAGTGTTGTCGAGCTACTAGGCGCAAGTTCAACTTTCTATTGCGCTCTTCTAAAGCCATTCCTTGAAATTATTCTCATTTTATTTTAAGTCACTATTACGACTAGGGTAGGCAAAGGGTTTGCAGGCCTTCAAACTTCCATTATTTTTTACCTATGCTTGCAGCTCATGGATGCCTATTATATTCGGCCTTAACTATGATCATGATTGTAGAATCGGTGAGTTGGTTAACTATTTAATTGTTGGTTAGTAATTAGCTAAATTTAGATTGACTATTTACTAATTAATTGGTTATCGATGTAACCGTTAACCATTGATTCCAGTACGGTTAGTTATACTATTAACAAAATAACCCTTTACCAACCCTATTTTCAACCGTTTATGAACCCACTACTCCAATGAATAGGATTACTTAATTGATTTTTTGGTTGATGCATTTGATTGAATTGATGAAATAGTTTCAAATTATCACCTCTACCAAACAGTAATTGATATCCAAATAACATAGCACTCGAAATCCGGCAAAAAATTGTAAACTATAATTTTTTTTATAACCCATCTTTTTCCGATTAATGGAAGTCGATAACGCGAACAAGGGTTGCCTTTCAAAATGGAGTAGGACATTGCACAACTTATCCATGGGAGGTGGAGAATCGGTGTGATGGAGTAGAGGGTCAAACTGACTTTAAAAGTAGGGAATAAAAGATTAGGTAAGAACGTGGAAAGTCGTAATTTGATAAATTTGCATAAGAAAATCTCACATGGGAATATAGGATTACTACCAGAAACGAATATGCCAAGAAACACCATAAACAAAACAATCAAGAAAAATTAGAAAAATATACTAATAAATAAAAATACATCAAAATGCTAAAAATGGCCGAAGTTCCTATCCGTAACTTTTGGTTATGTATAATTAATCATTCATTTGATGGTAAGATCATTATATAATAGTGCTAAAATGATAATATGAAGTCTTAATGGTAAGATCATAGTATGGTATGACAATATCAAGATAGTATGAAGCCTGATCGTAATGGTAAATCATGGTCTAATAATGCTAAGATGACAATAAACAATTGCTTTGAAGGTATATTTTTTCGTCAAAATATAACAATGAATACGATCGTAAAGTTTATAGTGAATGCGTTATTTTCGTGTAACTTTTTTTCAATTTATGAGTTAAACTGAATGAATATGAGCGAATTAAGAAAAACGAGAGATGACCTCAAATGAATATCTGCAAATTATGGTTTTAACTTTTAATTAATTTGAGTTATGTAAGATAAAGCAAATCTTGGCTATGGTTTCGTAGGGGGTGAAACGGGTAAACCCATTTTTATCAGAAATTATTGCTATATAGAGTTTGTTGGAAATTTGGTTGAACTCTATTAGTCGAATCACACCAATTTGAATCGAAACAACCAAACAGATTTGGGTTGGACCAACGAAACCAATATGAAATTAGACCAGTTAAATCAAGTATATGCGTGAAAACATTAGGTCATATCCAAATGAACATTTCCAGTAACCTAAGACTGTTATGGGACAATCCAAGTACTATATCGGAAATACAAGGAAAGGAACACTTGTATATTAGTGTCCACCTAACCCAATTATTACGAGGCCTTTTGGGGAGGACACGCAAAAGTAAAACCGTGCGAGTTTGGCCCAAAGCGGACGATATCGTACTAATTGAGCTCCCCGGTTATGACAAGTGGTATCAGAGCCTGGTTCGGCGAATCCAGGGCGGTGGACGTCAGTTCGGTGGGAGTGGGACCATCATTCGGTGGCCTCGGAATTTGCGATTCGCATTTGTTTGGTGGATCCAGGAGAGATCCGCGTTTGGGCTTGGCGGATTAAGAGAGATTCGCGTTTGATTTGGCAGATCAAAGAGAGTTCTGCGTTTGGAAAAATCCTTGTACCAAGAAGCCCATCGATACAAGGTGTCTGGCGGATCAAGATAATTGTTGAGGTGAGGACACAAAGTTCGTGGTCCTTGTCTTAAGGGGAGGATTGTTATGGGACAATCCAAGTACTACATCGGTAATACAAGGGAAGGAAGCCTTGTATATTAGTGTCCAACTAGCGCAATTAGTACAAGGTCTTTTGGGGAGGACACCTAAGAGTAAAACCGTGCGGGCTTTGGCCCAAAGAGGACAATATCGTACTAATTGAACAGCCAGATTTTGACAAGTAGTATCAGCCTGGTTCGGCGAATCTGGGGTGGTGGACATCAGTTTGGTGGGATCCTCACTCGCTGTCCTCGGGATTTGAGATTTGCGTTTGTCTGGCGAGTCAATGGTGATTCGTGTCTGGTTTGGTGGATCGAGGAGAGATCCACGTTTGGGCTTGGCAGATCAAAGAGAGTTCCGCATTTGGGAAGCAGATCAAAGAGTGTTCCGTGTTTGGTAAAGTCCTTGTACCGAGAAGCCCATCGATACAAGGCGTCTGGCGGATTAAGATAATCGCTGAGAAGAGGACACGAAGTACGTGGTCCTTGTCTTGAGGGGAGGATTTTTATGAGGACAACCCAAGTACCATATCGGAATACAAGGGAAGGAACCCTTGTATATTAGTGTCCACCCAACCCAATTAGTACGAGGCCTTTTGGGGAGGATACCCAAGAGTAAAACCGTGCCGGCTTGACTCAAAGCGGAAAATATCGTACTAGTTGAACTTTCTGATTATGACAAGTGGTATCAGAGCCCGGTTCGGCAGATCCGGGGCGGTGGACGTCAGTTCGGTGGGACCCTCATTTGGTGGCCTAGGGATTTGCAATTCGCGTCTGTTTGGTGGATCCATGAGAGATCCGCGTTTTGGGCTTGACGGATCAAGAGAGATTCGCATTTGATTTGGCAGATCAAAGAGAGTTCTGCATTTGGAAAAACCCTTGTAGCGAGAAGCCCATCGATACAAAATGTCTGGCGGATCAAGATAATCGTTGAGATGAGGACAAGAAGTTTGTGGTCCTTGTCTTGAGAGGAGGGTTGTTATGGGACAATCCAAGTAGCACATCAGAAATAGAAGGGAAGGAACCCTTGTATATTAGTGTACAACTAGTCCAATTAGTGCGAGGCCTTTTCGGGAGGACACCCAAAGCAAAATCGTGCGAGCTTGGTCCAAAGCGGACATTCTCGTACTAATTGAGCTCCCTAGTTAGACTTAGGATATGGTCAGTAACCATTGGTTACTGACATATGAGTAACTAAATCTGAATCTTTAGATCTAAGTGGGCCCAGAAATCCAGATCTAAGGGTTGTCAATTAAAGACATTTTATTTTTCATAGTTTTCTTAATCGGCTCTTATCTTCTTCGTTTAAACTCGGATTTCAATTTTTTTTTTTTTGCACAGATGGAACGAGGTCATTGTGCTCTACAAAATGAGATCAATTTTCAATATATTTCAACAAATTTTTTTATACTACATGTTTCCAACTACATACCATATGGTAACTTCTTCGTTTTTTAAAACGTTTGCTCAAAAGGAACGAGTTCATCATGATCTACTGGATCTACAAATTTCTGGGTGAAAAAAATACTGGACAAGAAATTACCATATTTTACCACTATGGTATGCGAGTGGTAACCAGTGGCAGATCGAGGACTGGGCCAACCCAGGCCCCGGCCCAGCCCTCCTCCGGATCCAGAATTAGTTTAGTGCTTATAAAATTTTTCGATTTAGATATTTGACCCAGTGCTATTTAAAATCTTGTCTAGTTTTATTAGATAATAGGATTTTGTGTAACTAGGAAAATGGTTCACATGAACATATCCAAACCATTACTCTAAATTTATACTAAATTTTCTATAGCCCCAATGATTTTATTTGAAAAAAGACATGAAAACCTAAAATTGTAAAGTTTCATTAAAATAAAATAAAAACTCTAAACTAAAGCACACCCTTCCTTGCAAAATTCACAAAATTTCCCAATCCCCCCAAAACAAAACAAGAACGAGGAGACGAGCATATCCAAAATGGATTTCTCCGCCAGCCCGTCGAGCTGGTTTTTTTTTCATTTTTTTTATTAAGAAAATATTTACAAACTTGTTGAGTTATCATTTAGATTGCGTCAATTGAGTGGGGCACTAGATTCTAACTGTTCTTTCTGGTGTTTTGATGAAGAAAATATTTACAAACTTGCTCAAGAGTTTAGCCTCGAGACTTTGAATGCTATGAGATGCATTCTTTGGAGAATGCACTACTCATGTGTAGGGATGGCAATCAAACCCATGACCGCGGGTATCCGACCGCCCCCGACCCAGTCAATGCGGGGAATCCCCGCTTTGACCGGGTATGGGTAAAACCCGCAAAAAGTTTGATGGGTATGGGGCGAGTATGGTTTTAGCCTCCCCCGCCCCATACCCATCCACATACCCGCCCCACCGAGATAATTTCTTCATATATAAAAAAAAATATGTGCATCAAATTATAATCTATCAATGATGATGAGGATAACTTGAGAAAATAAATAGTAGAAATGCAATTGATTGACCACCTTAATCAAAATCTAATTCATTTCTCTCAATTCTCATTTCACTCTTTCACTTTCCCCCTTGTCAACAAGATTATGTTAGTTAATTGTTATTTAGTAGATATATCAGAGTTAGAACATAATAATTTGAAAAATATTATACTCTATATTATGTATTAATGGTGATTTTAGGATCATAATCTTTGAACCATATTAAAAAATGACCGTGTTTTATTGACTTCATGATATAATATGTTCGTTTAGAATTATAATTAGAACTTTTCTTGTAAGTTTTAGGTATAATAATGTTGGATGTACGGGTATGGGTATTACCCATTGGTACCGGAAACCCACGGGTATGGGGATGGGTTTGCAAAACATTCCCCCGCATGGGTATGGGGCGGGTATGGGTTTGGGTATTTGAAGATGGGTATGGGGATAGTTTAAGCAAACCCGCCCCAAACCCGCCCCATTGCCATCTCTACTCATGTGAGGAAGATAAAGTTTCTTCTCTTGCAAAATTATTAGAGAAGCTGGAGGAAACCGGGATGGACACACAATACAAATTGATTTGTTGGTTGATTTGTCTAGTGTTGACCTAGTCGTTTCAACAACTACCATGGAGAGAATATTTTCAGCAATGGAACATAAACATTGATTTGTGCAACAAAATGAGCGATGAATTTCTCGTTGATTACTTAGCTATTTTCTTTGAAAAAGAGTATATTATCCGTATGAATGGAGATTATATTATTGATGAATTTGCTAAATTAAAAGACCATCTTATATAATTGCCATTGTAATGAAAACTATATTATTATATATTTTTGTTTAAGGGTATCTAATATTCTATTCAAATGCGGCCCAGTGCTCTCTTATGTCCTGGATCCACCGCTGGTGGTAACTTGTAGTAAACAATGATGAAAGTCGTAAATGACAATTAGTATACTTTTACTATCATGTATTCAACCTTCTTACCATATTGGTATGCTCATACCATCACGGTACGCTTTCTTACCATATAAATGGTTCTTCAATCAAAAATGGTAGGGGACATTATTTAATACCATATGGTAATGACTGGTAAAAAATGATTCAATTTTTTGTACTAAAAATTTATCAAAGTGGATATCATTTTAAATAGCACATCTGATTTATCTGTGCAAAAAAAAAATCGACTTAAAATGATAGAGAAATCATTCATTAAAAATTAAAGGTGAAAAGATAAAATACTTTTCAGGAGAAATAGGAATGCTGATGTGTACGGATTACTTATGGTTACTCACCATAATATTACTGACTTGATCCGCTACCGACTTATTACAAAGACTTTACCGAAGATGAGAATTTTTTTTTTGTAATTAAAGAAAAGAAATGTGGCCCGCTACTATATCACAATTCTAGTCTTTCGATTTTGAGCTATGGTACCAACAGTCTCGTCCGTGCAAAAAAAAAAAAAAAAATTCATCATATAAACAGCGTAAACATAATGTAAATTCTCTACAAGTTGAACAATCTTGTGGTGGAACAGATTCACCGTGCAAAAACAAAATAAAGCAGCAGCATGCATTGCAGACTACTTGGCATCAGTGGAACGGAAGCACTGCCTGTCAGTGTGGCAATGTAATGTGCGCGGCGGGTGGAATGGAACAAAGCAAACAAATGGCACTCTCTCCTTGCATGCAACACATCACAGCTGGTCGGTAGGATCTGCTTCTTCATTATACAATTCTAATCAATAATAATAATAAATAATAACCAAAAAGGCCAAGGTTAGCTAACTACTAACCACGGTCAAGAACAAGATTAATAACTCCAACCATGGACCGAGTCCCCCCACCAAAAAAAAAAAAAAATCTATCTCCAAAACCCAGACCCCAAGAAGGTTAACAAGTTATTAAACAACAAAATCATATATTAGAGAGAAGAGAAAAAAATAATTAGGGAAAAGGAAAGAAATGATAGAGAAAGGGAGACTGTTCCACCTTTGAAAATGAGAGCATTTGAGGAGCAGAACTGTGGCCATCCGCCATAGCCATAGATTTTATTAAATTCCATGTGGCGAAATCAGTCCAATCCAAACAACACCCCCCAAATCCATTAAAAGGGGGCACTCACCCACTCTCTTTCTTCATCTTCCTCCACCAAAAAAAAAAAAATTTATTATAATTGGGAAGGAATCATCCTTTCTTTCTTTCTATCTTCATCTTCTTCTTTCCATTTCCTGCCAAACCAACACAATTTCTCTACTACAAGAGAGCTCTCCCATTTAGCAGTTTTCCCCTCCCTCCCTCTCTCGAACAACTCAACAACACACATTCTTCATCATCTCCCATTTCCTCACTCAGACGCTTTTCCTTTCCTTTGACGGAAAGTTGATCCCTCTACAACACCATCACTGCAAACCCCCGATCATTGTTTAATCCTTAGAGGGGGGAAACAGTCTCTGTTCTGGAATCAGTCATACGAAGAAAGATTCCTCCTTTGTCCTTCTCTCTCTGTCTGTAGGAGATGCATTGAATTGAGTCCTAGTTTGGTTTTCCCTGCTCTGTTTCGTAGCTTGTAGTTGTCATTACCGCGTTTTTTGGGGGGTGGGTTTGTGTTGATTTAGCTTCAAGGGATGATTGAGGTTTTCTTTCCCTTCCTCGCTTTGTCTAGTTGTCTTCAAGACTGATCAAAGCAGCAGAGCCAGAGAGCAGTCAAATTAGCTTGGAGTTTTCTTTAAGTCCGGAGAAAGCGAAACAGGGTTCCCATTACAAATACAATCTTCTTCGGCGAGGAGGTTCGATCGGAATACCCAAATCGGAAAATTCTGTTGCCTTTCTTATCCGGAACGGAAAGTTAGAAACAGAAACAGGGGAGTTTCGCTTTTCTTTTCCTTTTCTTGTCTGGAAAACTTTCCTTTCCTTTTCTCCTCTTCTCTCTCCTTTGGTCTTCGCAAATTTATCTCGAAAAGAAAAGGAAAAAAAAAGATAAACGTTAGAAATTTGAGAGTTTTTTTTTTTTGTTATATGTTTCGTTTCATCTTCGTCCCCGTTTCCTAATCTGGTCTGTCAGTCTTCTCCCTCTCAAATCTGGGGAATCCCTAAAAATTCTCTCGAGAGACCTTCCCATTTCACGGCCCCTTCTTTCTCTCTTCCCCTGTTTTACCTCTGTTTTCCCTCTTCAACGAGTCCCTCTGTTTTCTTTAGGCTTGGGGGAGAAATTGAAATTTTTTTTTTCTTTCTCTCCTCCTCTGTCTCTCTCTTTCTGGCCCTTCCACATCTCTCTCTTTTTTTATTTTTGCCCTTTAATTTTTTTTAAAAACAATGATTTCGGACAAAGGGTCAACACAATCGAACCTCGATTGCTTCCTCCATTTCACTACCCCTGTAGTTGAATCTCATTCCCTGCCAAAGGTTCGTCTTTCTCTTCTTCCCCCCCGCTCAATTGATAATTCAATTTTGAAGCTTGTGTATGATTTGGGTTTTGCCTGTTTCTGTTTTGCAGTCGGAGATGAGGAACTTGAATCGGCTATGGCATCCATGGGAGAGGGAAACGGTGGAGTACTTCACCCTCGGCGATCTCTGGAACTGCTACGACGAATGGAGCGCTTACGGCGCTGGAGTGCCCATTTCCTTGAACAATGGCGAAACTTTAGTTCAGTACTACGTCCCTTACCTCTCCGCGATCCAAATCTTCACCAGCAATTCCTCCTCCGTCAACGGTCTCAGGTGCGTTAGTAACATTACACATTCATTTAATACGGTGACAAGAAAAAATTATAAGAAAAAGAGCAAACCCACATGGAACTTCCCCTGCAATTAATGATCAAGAATATTGTTCCATTGAATTCCTGGTTTTTGGTGGGGTTGTTCCTCTGTTTCAGTCGATACAGGGAAGAAACAGAGTCGGGCGATGGAGAAACGAGTAGCGATTCTTGTAGCGACGAGAGCTGTAGATGGGGTGACGGGTGTTCATCCGATGAAGGTGGCTCCGAACAGGAAACCCTTTGGCATCTAAACGACAGATTGGGGTATCTCTATTTCCAGTACTTCGAGCGATCCACGCCTTATGGAAGAGTCCCTTTGATGGATAAGGTAAAAATTCTCCAGAAAATTTCAGAGATTTGGGACATAAAGAATCAGTTTTGCTGGGTCATACGAAATTCCCAGAACTTCTGCAACTCTTTCGAGAAATGTGGATTGCTCCAAAAAACGGCACCATTTTCATCAGAATCGGCTTTTTTGGGTTCCCTGTTCATTGATTAATTAATTCATAGCTCTTAGATTCTCCTTTCATTAGAAACAGGGGATGGGGAGAGGAGAAGTAACAAGAATCAATCTAGTGAGAATGCTAATTCGTTTTCAAGTGTTCGGAAGAAGAAGAATTCTGGGGTTATTTTTGGCTGTATTCTTTTATCTAAATCGAAGGAAACAAATGGGGTGGCATCGAACTATAATCACTTTTGTCCATTCTTGCAAATAAAGCCATGCAACTTTTGGGTTTCCTTTCTTTCCCTTTGTTAATGCTTTTGTAATAATAATCGTGAATAATAATACTAGCATATCTATATCTTTATGGTTGCAGATTAATGGATTCGCTCGAAGATACCCAGGATTGATGTCTTTGAGAAGTGTGGATCTCTCCCCTGCTAGTTGGATGGCTGTGGCGTGGTAAACTCTTCACGGCAAAGTCTCTGTTTGATTTGTCTTCTTTTCTTCCGTGACCAATTTGTGGCAATCGTGTCAACACTTGGGTTTTCTTTTGTTTTGTTTCTGTTATATAGGTACCCAATCTACCACATACCAATGGGAAGAACAATCAAGGATTTGTCGACATGCTTCCTTACTTACCACACCCTTTCCTCCTCTTTCCAAGGTATATTATAACGTTTTGTTACACCAAAGATTGGTGCTTTATTGACATTTGGGTGATGGGTTTTGTCAATTGGCTAACGAAATCAACTCTTTTTAACATTTGAGATCAGATATGGATTTGGAAGACGATATAGAGAAGCCGGAGAGGAAGAGGAAAGAAGGGGAGAACATCTCGTTGCCATCGTTCGGGATGGCGACTTACAAGATGCAAGGCAACGTTTGGGTATCGGGGAATTGCGGCCGAGACCAGGAGAGGTTGGTTTCGCTATGGAGCGTCGCAGATTCGTGGCTCAAGCAGCTCAGGGTCCAGCACCATGACTTCAATTACTTCACTGGGATCAGGCGTGGTTGATTCTACCAAACGTGAGCAAAGGGCACCACAAAAAAAACCCAAAAAAAGAAAGAAAAAAACCCCACCAAGTCTAACCACCGCCCTCATTCTCATTTGCCTTGACCTTTTCTCCTTTGCTCCTGAAAGTTACCTTTCCCCCAAGGAAAAAAAATAGCAAACACAAAAACCAGGAAGATGGACAAAAAAAGGAATGAGAATAAGCCCAGAACCCTACAATTGAGTGGAATCTTATCGTAGAGGAACAGGTTGGTTTTGTTTTGTTTTGTTTTGTTTGCTTGGGGGGTTTGTCCAGTCCAGACTCCAGAGGCCATTTCCGTAGCGATTCAGAGCTTTTTTCCCTCGTTCTTTTGTTCAATGCTTTTGGGTTCAGAGGGGTACATTAGACATGTGAGCTGTGGCAGGTTGATGATGTTGCCTTCTCAATCTCATGATCGACTTTCTTTGTTTAATTTTCTTTGTTTCGGTTTGTAGTTGGGTTTCGGTTTAGGGAGAAACAGAGTGTGTCGAGTACAGGGGACGAGGGGCATCTATGCTCTGTTTTTTTTTTCTTTTTTATTAACTTTGATGAAATCGTTGTTGACTTGTAGAGTTTGATAATGGGGAAAAATGGAAAGAGGGGATAGAAGAAGAGAAGAGACAGGAGTTGTTTATTCCTGAGAAATGACAATAGCTTCTCGATTTCTCGTCCATTTCTCCTTTTTGCTTCCTGCTTTCAATTTCTTCACAAGTGTGGATTGGGACTGGAGATATGATTTTTCTTTCTTTCTCATGGAAAAAGGGGAGCGTGATTGGCTGCTATGCTACTAAATGTTTATGCTCCTAACCAATGCAGTTGGAGTGGTGGAATTGTTGGATCTCTACATCGAACGGGAAATTAGAAAAAGACCCAAATGGTTAAACAACAGAAAGAAGAAGAAGAAGAAGAAGAAGAAAAAAAGGTATTGGAAACTGAAGTTGGCATGAACCCATAATGATCGATCGTTGAAGTTTTGAACTGAACAAATACGAGTAGTCAATGCGATACGGTTTTCACCCACTAGAAAGTGGCTAGAGTTAAATCTTCTTAATAGAAAATGTCAAATGGTGGATTGGTGTGGTGGTAGTGGGAATTACTTGATTTTGATTAGCTCAATAGTAGTCAAGTGAAACCTAGAAAGAAAGAGAGGAATTGGCTAATGCATTAACCACAAAATATGTACATCTCCCACATAAATTTTACCACTTTGGCATGTCTAATCTCTAGTTTTCTCAAGTCTACAATTTGGTTACCAAACTTTATTTCGTTAGCCATGATTTTTCATCTCCAATTTTCCAAATGCTTCAATTTAGTAATTGAACTGTCTTATATTGGTGCATCTTTTCCTCTATTTTCTATTTGTGCTCATGATTCTCTAAAAATTTGCAGTTTTGATCATGGTTGGGAATTGGAGTTTTTTCTCCAGCTTCTCCTTCCTCCATTATGAATCGGGCACCCTTTTTAATTTTAATTTTTTTTTTGTAATTCGCTTATGGTGCCCGATGTAGTAATCTTGTTTAGATCATATAAATTATAATTTATATTAAACGAGAAGTAACATTATGAAATTCGCAGAATTTCCAATCACTTTAAAGACATAAAAACTCATACGAGTCTAAAGTCTAATAAATTATATTCCATATATAACATATATTTGATTAATTAATTGACTTCTAATTTTTTTTACCGCATCTCTAAACTAAATTATTCTCTCCGCCCTGGATTATGTAGTATCGAAAATGAACTGAAGGTATCAGAATCTACAACTGAACTGATTGAAGTTGAACTATTAACCAACAATTTAAGAATGCAAAAATAAGGTTGACAATTTGGATGCTGTGTGTGGATAGGATATAATGGGGCACCAGAGTACCATGTAGTGGAGCCTCATGATGGTAGTGGAAATATTATTAATTAACAGTAAATGACACAATGACACGTGTTTTACTCACACACTAGTCTTTGTCATTAACATGTCAAAAAGTTAACTTCCCTTCCCAAGTTCACAAAAAAAAAATTGGACAACAGAAGTGTTTGACTGTTTATCATTTTCAAAAAAGGACTGGCTCCTGCAGTAAAAAAACAATTGAAACGTTGGACTATATTTTTGTGTATTAAAGGTAGGTTACTAGGTTTACATAATTAAAATATTGGCTATTGGTTTAACCTTGATCACTGACCTGCCCCGATTCATCTCGATCCTAAGAGTAGAACGGGGTTAGTTGTCTACATTGTCACTTTAGGGTTTGGTATTTTTTTAACTCTGTAAGGGTTGGGTAGGGTCGGCTCAATTTAGTGGCAGGTCATTTTTTGACCCTATGACATGTAGCAACAACTAGTGATATGAAATTTCTCATACCAACACATTAAACTTGTTTGTCAAATTTTAAAAGTTTAGGTACTATAATGCAAGGTAAAAAATATAAAGGTACTAAACATAATTTTACCATCAAAATTTTTGGACCTATTAGTAAAAAAATATACTTTAATACTAAATTGTAAGAAAAAACTTTGAGTATCAAAATGTAATTTTCACAAAAACTGTGTGTTTGATTTGAGCCGACGCACTAATCCGGCCCGCCCCGCTTCTAAAGGGTCAAATAGGAAGTGAAAACTATACGGCTTTAAGAAAAACCATAACCAAAAATCAAACTGACAACCCAAACAACATTAACATCTTAGATTAAAGTATTGAACCCATTAATTATCCGTATCAAATAATATCATGTAATTTTGGTAAATCCAGATAATAATTTGGGCAATACTTTCAATATCAAACTTGTTAATGGCAACTCCTAACGACTTCGCAAACCGCTAACTAAAACTATTTATGAGAGTTGAGCGTTGATTTTGCGATTTGCTCCGATTGTGACGGCCCATTTATCGTGGCCCAAAGATCCAATGGTTTGAGATTTGCCGTTCGCCGCGAACAAAGTTGGCCTAATTAATTAGGCAAGCAAACAAACAAACACGAAGTTAAAAACAACTGCACAGATACATTACAGAAAGTCTGTTTTGGACCATCTTTGACTTTCAGCTTCAACGTCCAATTTTCCACAATATAATTTAAATTTCCCAAAACCGTCCAATTAAGCACCTGTCTTGTCCCTCTGGATTTTGGTCCCATATACCGACTTCACCCACATGCCCAAATAAACATCTATTTTTTTTATTTATGAATCATCTATTTTTTCATGGTAAAACGAAAGTGTAATTAATTAAATAGTATTATTATATACACTTTATTTATAATTCATTAATGAACTTGACCCCTGTGAATTCATATAATAGCAATAGGCCTCTAAAATTCCAGATCATTTGAATATATATATTTTTACATTTTATTGAATTTGGAATATATATATATATATAACCGATTTGAATGCATTTTTTTTTTATTTCTAGATCCCCATCCTTACAAAATCAACACAATGTTTGTCATGGTTGTGAAATAATCGGTTGCAACTTGCATAACTACTATATTTCATTTACTAGCTTTTGACCCGGCCATTGGCCGGAATTTTTAATTTTAGAGGGTATTGTTAGAAACCAAACAGAAAATTAGGATTACCGATATGGCTGAGTCGCTGACTAGGTCGCTCTCTTTAAGACGTTCGCGGCACTGCCTCGTTATTCGCACAGCAGACTATCAGTCGGTCGCCTCCAAGATAAAACAGCCACTCTTTTGATTTGCTCAGCGGTTTTGTGTGAAAAATCGGACCTCTTTGAATCTCACTCTCTCTCGTGTTTCTGCTCTCTGAGGTGTGTTTAGAGGGTATGGGGCGTCTCCTATTTATAGGAGCAGAAAATCCAGAATATTCCCTCTTTCTTTGTGAATAAGTCATATTTTAATTAGGGAGATAATTACTTTCATAATTAAAATATAATCTATTAAGATAATTAATCCTAATTATCTCCATAATATTTCTTTTATTAATTATCCATCTTATTTTCGTATTATGGGAAAATACTGGATAAATAATTAGGAATTTCATTTATAGCTTTTCAAAGCCATTCATCCCAACAATCCCCCACTTGAATAGTTTTGAAACTATCTCTAAGCATCAATAGTTTCATAAGATATGGCATAAACTAAGGTATCGCGAAGATTTGAACCTTAGCGTAGTGGTTACACTTCCGATTTCATAAGGGCGACTCGTAGTCTTGAACCCTATCTCAGACAGTGTAGCACACCGGATCTTTTCATTGAGTGATATTCTCTCATAGGCCGTGCGTTTATGGCCATGCACGTTATCCCCGTTTAGTGAACGCTCTAGCAACTTTGTGCCTCCAAAGTTCCATATGGAGCAGCCCCACTCCCACATTCACATAGGTGAGTCTATTAGAAGTACCCCCAATGTAAAGTACTTCACTCCACATAGAGTATAGATCTCATTAAGAGTTTAACTCAACCTCCAAGGCTTTGGGATTCATGCTTCACTATGCATGAACTTTTCTCAATATTACTCATGACTTGTTATTACCCATTGAACCCGTTTCTTGGGATCTCCAGTCTATCGGGTCGGGTTACCATCACTTGTAATCCATGGTTCGGTAGGCATAAGTCTCATACCCTTCTTGGTATTTTGGACTTTTCTCTCTATGTAATCCTTTCGTCAAAGGATCAGCTAGATTCTGTTAGGATCTCACATGATCCACCCTCATTGCTCCTATCGTTAGGAGTTATCTTACAGTACTGTGCTTACGACGAATTTGTCATCTTTTTTCATCTAGAACCGGTTCCCTTCTTTAATAATAGCTATCACGATGAATCCACTACCGGAGGGATCGGTCTTTCCCATAAGAGAATCTCTAGTATTGACCCTCTCAATCAACTTTTCTCTTTACTAGACATTGCTAGCTCTATCATTTCTTATTTCTTAGTTGATTAAGCCAGGATCTTTTACTTCTTAGAATTCCAAGACACAACACTTCCAGTGATGTTTAAAACATGTCCACTAGATGCCTTGGAATACTTTATAGGGTATTCTCGTCCGCATCAATATACCCTACCAATACAGCCAGAAACCGTTGATAACTTATATCAAGGTCTACTGTTCTTAAGGTGTCTCATGACCTCTTTCAATAGCATTTCAATGCTTCATACTAGGACAATCAGTAAGCCTGCCAAGTACCCCCACTAAATCGGGTCTCATGTTTATCAGCTGCCTCTCGCAGACTGTCAATACTAGTATATTCTAACTTTCTTACACCATCTTAGGTGTTCTTTAAATATTTATACTAGCATCATCAAACATGTATGCAGGTGTACATCTTTTTTTTCCTAGTCATTAGGATCTCTAAGCATAACATTTGTTTCATTCAGATCCTTCACATTCAAAATTCTCAACCATCATGGTTTTTCAATATTGACATCACAAGTCTTTGTACCAAAGATCGATGTGTCATTGATAATGCAAGTGTTATTCTCAAATTTGTACTAAATGCACTTGTCACTTTCACTTTTAAAACCATGAGAGAGAATCTGATTATTCATGCCACTAATTCTAAGTCTATTTCAAATCATATAATGATCTGTCTAACCATAGACTCCAGAAGCATGTTCAAGAATAACAACCTTTAAGATTGTCCCAATATAGATTTCTTTATTCAAATCACCATTCACAAAATAATTTTAACATCCATGTGATGGATGTTATTCAACATATTGGTGAATAGATATCAAAGAAATCTATTTTTTTTCCTCTTCACTTATAGCCTTAGCTACTAGGCGATCATTATACTCATAAGCTAAACCATCAGGTTTCAGTTTTCCTTTTAAGAATCCATTTATTAGCTAGGCTTCACTTCCAAGAGGTAATTCTCAAAGGTGCCAAATCTTTTCGATTTCATCGATATATTACCTAAGGCTTTACAACTGAAAGGTAACTCTACAAGTTTCTAAGTCTTATTAGACTCTCATGATTCCATTTTATTAATAATGGCTTCTTCCCACAAATCTGCACTTTTACAGAAGTTTGAACTTCTAGCAGACTTGTAGGATCTTTCTTAGGGTGTAATTAACAAACTCATAACCATCCTTTATCAATTTATGGTTCGTTTGCTTCT